AATGAGCTGTGATGGGGACAAAAGCACTTGCCACTTGAGAGGGAAGGGACTTGTCTCCCTCTAAGAGGAAACGGAAAGGCTAGGCAATAGACATCCTGGTGAAAGAATAAGTGGGGATTAAAGAATTCCTTCCTGGGACTGTGGACAGAACAATCGGGAAATCATAGAACTGTAGGGCTGGGGCTTCTCAGAAATCTCTTAATCCAGCTCTCCCAAGAAGTAAAAATCCAGAATATCCCTGGAAGACACTTTTCTACTCTGTTTCTAAAAATCTCCAGTGAGAGCAAGCTGATAGAACGTTTTTCCCAATCTTTCATGGTGTAGAATAGCCCATAGCGTTGGGGTTTTTTACCCTTATTGGACATGAAGAGCAATTAACCACCCTATTCCCTCTGTACTTACAACCTCTTAGCATATCTCTTTTCCGTCCTTTCTAAATTAAATATATTCAATCGTCTTAGTGTTTCCTCCCAGGTCGTGTTTTCTAAAGCTCTGTATCATTTTTGTTGCTTCTCTGCATCGTCTGGTTTGCCTGTTGGTTCAGATCTAGACAAACTGGAGACGATGCAGGGAAAATCAGAAGACTTAAGCTACTGAGATTGAAACTGTGGTTGTTCTGCCCATTGCTTTTTGAAGAAATAAACAAAAATACCTCTGCATTTCACGTGGGCGAAGAGAAGCGCGGTACATAACAAGCTCAATGGTCAGGAAATTCAAAGTTACGGGTTTTGGTGCAAAATATTTACAGAAATTTTTCATATTTAAGGAAACTAAGGCTTTAGTCTGACATTACAACATTTTCAGTTAGACACCCTGATCCCAAAAAGCGTGTGCTTGGAGCTAAATTTGAATAGTATCACTAAAGTTAGCATTACCTTACATATTACAAATATCATATATTTCTTGGCTTTTCTTTAAGCCAAAACATCTGGTCTAGATCTATATATTCATGTCATATTATTATTCTTTAGATCATGCTGGTTTTCAGACATGCAAATAACAGGCAGTTCTGAAAGTCTAGCACTGAAATTATTGGATTTGGAAAAAAAAATAAAAGGAAAGTTATTAGTCAGAAAGAAAAACTGAAATTCTTGTTTAATTTAGAGACTTTGATACATTGGACAGCATGCTGCTGATTACGGCAGACGTGGGGAAGGCAGTGTTATCAAGAGAAGAATTGGTGGCTTCTTGCTATTTCTGCACTATTTAGCTACCATTAAATTAATCAGGAGGGACTTAGCATTAGTCAGCTGCGTTATAGTTGGCCCAGGAGAGGAGAAAATAACGCTCCCTTGGAGAACTCTCGCCAACAGACCTCAAGAATTAAGTACTTTCTGTCGCTAGTGAGGAAAATAGCTGAAGAAATTGGAGAAATTGAAGAAGAGCAATATCCTTTGCTCTTCTATCTCCTAACTCAATAATACAGTATATTATATACACTATATTGAGAAACACTGTAAATTTCCCTAAATTTTTGGCATCCATCTGTTGGAATGTAAGGAAATAGGATTTGAACATCTGGACTGGGATATGGAGGGTATGAGAAATCACTCTTTAGCTTAAAACCTCAGTGGAAACCATATACATATATCTATAAAATCTCTAGCCAATTATTAACAGCTTAGCTACAAAATAACATTAAACCATTACGAGGATCGAAAGATCTTGTCTCAAACTAATCTCTTAATATCAGAGAGCATAAAAGACTTCAGAAACATCAGCCTGTTTAAAACCTGCCCAAATTTAAATTTCAGACCTTGTTGTTCTGAAAATAATCCTCCCCCGCGACTAAAAAATAAATGGGAAAGGTTCATGACTGCTGTGCACAGAAAGAAGTCCCCAGTATCTCAGCGCACAGCTTTCGGCGTAGAATATCTCAGCGACACGAAATGCATCCCACGTGTGAGGTGAAGGCCTCCAACAGCGTGTGATTAATTCACCAGAGTGCTGTTGTGGTGCCTTCCACAAGCTGGAATATCTCCATTTTCCACAGATGGCTATAATGGGCACCGCTCCTAGGGCAGGGAGATAAACATTCGTGACATCTTTTTTGCGCACCTTGGGTTTTTAGATTAACCTTTCCTGTGGTTCATTGCCTTGTGATTCACTGCTTGCAGAGAAGGTTTTGTCAGGACCACGCTCCCTCTTCCAGGCAACAATATCTGCAAAGACCAAATGTTTTGAAAGTGGCTGTGGCACTGGTGCCTTGTGGACGTAATTACATGCCAATATAGAGTTAGGCAGCGTGGTTCAACCATGCCTTCCATCGATTTCGGAATATGAGAAGCAAAAAAAATGAGTATTTCCTTTATAAATACCTACATGAAAAGAGGTTCATCCTAAGCACTCTATCCACTGGTAGAGCACATTAGAAAAGCACAGGCAGCTTTCCGAGAGGCGTTGCTGCAAGGGCAGCCTTGGGAGCACGGCAGGAGTAGGGTGTTTGGATGTGCTCCCTGTTGTGACCGTTGGATCAGTGCTGGCTGCTGCAGAAAGCCTAGGGCACAGCCACATTTCACCCTCCCTCCCCCAACATTGCCTCTTCTTGCAGGTTGGCCCAAGAAGCCATCAACATATAGCAGTGTGTAATCCCTTGCTTTATGGAGCACGGTGACTGGGATTACTGGTCATCCACTGGAATGAAAGGGGTAGAACATAGGACTTTGTATAGTTTTCCCTATCCCCTCTCACCAAGAAAAGTTGTGCAAGGACTAGGCACAGTTTAACACTGTGAAAGTCCTCAAGGGAAAGCATGTGAGAGGCTAAATATTTAACACCAACTTTCTGGAGCTAAAAAAATTACTCATAAGTTATCTCTCCTTCTCATCAGCATGGGTCCTCTAGAAACTTCTTGAGCAGAGAATATCAAAGACGGAAGACGCTGATCCCCCAAAGCCCGAGTGTGAGATGCCAACTTCACTCCCTAGAAATA